CGGCCTCCCAGAGTGCTAGGATTACAGGCATGAGCCACCGCGCCCGGCCTACATCATTCCTTTTTATTGCCAAATAATACTATATGGATATACCACATTTTATTTTATCCATTGATCAGTTGATGGACATTTAGGTTGTTTCCACTTTTTGGCTATTAAGAATGATGCCACTATGCATATTTGTGTCAGTTTTTGTGGATGTATGTTTTCATTTCTCTTGGGTATTAACTAGCAGTGGAATTATTGGGTCATATGGTAACCCTATGTTTAACATTTTGAGGAACCGAATCTGCAATATTCAGATGTGTTTATGGAACCACTGTACTCTAGATAGATGTTCTAAATTAGCATCTAGAACCATATTCTGAGTTCTAATGCCTTAGTTGGCTTAGTTCTTTACAGGACTTATAGAGGGTTCCTGCAAAACACTTTGGGTGATGAGAACAGAGATACAATGACCAATATATGCCCTATATCATTGTGTTAATTTGAAAGGAGGCTCTGAAGTATTTCTGGGGCCTCTGCCAGGTTTTAGCAGTTAATGTAAAAGATAATTGGAGATATGAATTACCTAAAAGTGTTCATCTATTTAGGTGATGCAATTGCTTTTAAATCCTAAATGTGCTAGACTCCTTTGGTCAGGCTTAATGTTGTCACTTGATAAGTGCTGTTTCCACTGATGATTTGTGAAATACATTGGCCACATATTCCCTGAGCTGCAGTGAGATGTGATCCTGAACAACCTAAATAAAGTATCAGATTACATTCAGTGGCATTCATATGGCCCACAGGAAAATTTTTCTTGCAAAGTTGCAAGTATAGGCCACTTCTGCTGCAGGTCTTTCTCACTGTTTTGCCATCAAAGGCCTCTCTGGATAGTATATTGCTTTTAGACTTTTCCAGTTGGCATAAACTCCAGGGCTCAGAGGTTGAGTTATCTGTTTCTTTACTTGGCTTAAAGCGGGGATAGGGTGAGATAAGCACTGTCCTATCTGCGCTCCTGGGGAAGGGGAAGGGGAATGCACAGAACTCCAGAAAACTATCTTGTAGGCATTTTCATTCTCTAAACTTGTTTCATCAGTCCTGCTATATCATTCCAGGGAGGTGCATGAGAACTGAGGATTGCTAAATGGGCTACACATTTTTCCAGGGTGTCCTGTGTGGATGGTCTAGCATCTCTTTTTAAAATTCTTAGGATATTTGGCATGTATTTTTCTCAGCTTTGGAGCTTCTGCCAAAAGACACTGAAAAGTCCCATTTAATATGCCATATATCTTAGAAATATGTGCCAGGATTGTTTTATGGTCTTTTTTGGTGTCATGGACATTCTGGTAAAGTCTGTGTATCCCCTTCTCAACGTAATGCTTCTATATACATAAAACAAAATATGTAGGATTACAAAGGAAACCAATAATATTGAAATAGAGTTTCATCCTCGGACTCCACAGAGGTACAAGTACCCAGGTTAAAAACTTACCTAACAGGCTGGGCACGATGGCTCATGACTATAATTCTGGCCTCTGGGAAGCCGAGGTGGGAGGATCACCTGAGCCCAGTTCAAGACCAGCCTTAGCAATATAATAAGACCCCATCTGTACAAAAAATAGAAAAATTAGCCAGGCATAGTGGCATGTGCCTGTACTCCCAGCTACTCAGGAGGCTGAGTTGGGAGGATTGCTTGAGCCCAGGAGTTTGAGGTTGCAGTGAGCTATGATGATGCCACTGCACTCTAGTCCCAGGTCACAGAGTGAGACCCTGTTTTAAAAACAAAACCAAATAAAAATAACCAAAAAACTTACATAAGAATCTTAGTGCTTTACAAGAACTATTACATTTATCTTTCTAACACCTCAGGAGGAAACTGAGGCATAAAGCAAGGGGGTAAGTACCTTGCCTAAGACCACTGTGACATAATGAGAAATATATATTTGGACTCTGTCCCCAGTTCCTGACACAGAGATCCTAAATCTCTTGGGATTTCCTGGTTAACAGGAGTGTCTTTGTTCTAATGGGGTGACTGTTGATGGGCTCCTGTATAGCTTCAGGATGGAGGATGGTCACCAGAAAAATCAAACCATGAGGCTTAGAACTTTCAGTCCCATGCCCCATCCTCTGTGGAAGGGAGAAGAGCTGGAGATCGAATTAATAATCAATAATTCTTACATAATGAAGCCTCCATAAAAATCCCTAGAGTGGGCCGGGCGCGGAGGCTCACGCCTGTAATCCTAGCATTCTGGGGGGCCGAGGCGGGCGGATTGTTTGAGCTCAGGAGTTTGAGACCAGCCTGAGCAAGAGCGAGACTCCGTCTCTACTAAAAATAGAAAGAAATTAATCGGACTGTTTCAAATATATAGAAAAAAATTAGCCGGGCATGGTGGCGCATGCCTGTAGTCCCAGCTACTCGGGAGGCTGAGGCAGGAGGATCGCTTGAGCCCAGGAGTTTGAGGTTGCTGTGAGCTATGTTGACGCCAGTGCACTCTAGCCCAGGCAAAAGAGTGAGACTCTGCCTCAAAAAAAAAAAAAAAAAAAATCCCTAGAGTGCAGGGTTCAAACAGCTTCTGAGTTGGTGAACACATCCATATGCTGGAAAGGTGGCACACCCCAACTCCATGGCAACAGAAGCTTCTGTACTCGGGACCCTTCCAGACCATGCCATATGTACCTTTTCATCTGGCTATTCATCTGTATCCTTTGTAAAATTCTTTGTAATAAAGCAGTAAACATAAGTAAATGTTTCCCTGTGTTTTGTAAGCCATTATAGCAAATTATTGCATGTGAGGAGGGGATTGTGGGAATCCCTGATTTATAGCTGGTGAGTCAGAAGTACAGGTGACAACCTGGAACTTGCGATTGGTATCAGAAGTGGGGGCAATCTTGTGGGACTGAGCCATTAAGAGGTCTGATGCACTCCAGGTAAATAGTATTGACTTGAATTGAATTGTAGGACATCCAGTTGGTGTCTGCAGATAATTTGGAGAATTGTTTGGTGAGGAAAAAAACCTCTACATATTTGGTGTCAGAGGTGTTGAAAGTATAGAAAAATAGTTTTTTCCCCCTTTAATCATGCATCTGGTAAGCAGCAGAGAAAGGATGCAAACCCAGGCAGTCTTACTCCACAGCATTGTTTTGATGCTATGCATATAAGCTGCCCTAAATTCATTAATGGTTGCTGCAGCAAGTATTGCAGTATTTGGACAGTGGAAACAACTGATATTATTCCATGAACTCCACTCTCTGGTTTAGTGAGTATTAAATGACCACTTTGGTTATCTGGGGGAGGGACAGGACTTTAGAATTAATTCAGGCTCTACTTTTTTTTTCCTGGTACAGGATAGCAGAAGACGTTGAGTTTCCCTGTTTTTTATTTGTTCACTTTTTTTTTTTTTTTTGAGACAGAGTCTCACTGTGTTGCCCGGGCTAGAGTGAGTGCCGTGGCGTCAGCCTAGCTCACAGCAACCTCAAACTCCTGGGCTCAAGCAATCCTTCTGCCTCAGCCTCCCGAGTAGCTGGGACTACAGGCATGCGCCACCATGCCTGGCTAATTTTTTCTATATATTTTTAGTTGTCCAGTTAATTTCTTTCTATTTTTAGTAGAGATGGGGGTCTCGTTCTTGCTCAGGCTGGTCTCAAACTCCTGAGCTCAAAACAATCGGCCCGCCTCGGCCTCCCAGAGAGGTAGGATTACAGGCGTGAGCCACCGCGCCCGGCCTGTTCACTTTTTTTTTTTACTTGTAGCTAATGTCATCTTAACTAATATGCCCAATAATGGCTAAGATGGAGTACAGTACTCTACCAACCCAGAAGAAAGACTTGGAGCAAATTACATTTGGTTTAGAAAAATAAATGAAATGCAGCATTTCTTATTCTCCTGTTAAAGAGTAAAATCTGTACCCACTGTGTAATGGTATCTCTCTCACAATGTTTATTGGGGAATTAAAGGAGATAATGTTCTCAGGAGGGTTGCTTTAAGTGGTAGTCATCACCATTACTGTTCTTACCATTAGGTTGAATGTCTGGAAGTTGTGGCAAATATGGAGGAGGCAGCAGAGAGGAAATTGGGGATATAAGCAAAAATAGCCTTACAAATTCCAGATTCAAGTCTCAAGAGCTCCATTTACTTTATAAGTGTAAAATATTTTAACACAGAACTCAGTCTGTGCATTTTTAGTTATTAGTCATCTAGTAGTATCACACATTGGTGTTGCCATTCTCCCTATTTTCCATTTGACTAAATGGGAATTTTGAAAACAGAAAAGATTGCGCATTCTTGTTCCTTAGATAACACTAGTAACATTTCCTTTCATGTTTTAGCTAGTCTTGCAACATTATTTTGGCTTTTCACCACAAATATAATCAGCAACTGGAATTCTTAAATCTCTGAATCTGACGGAATATTTTGGCTAAGGGTGGCACATATAAACAGCATCGTGGATTTTTTGTTATTATTTTTCTTGCCTTATTACTTTAGTGTGTATTAGACAGAACCCGAAAGCAGTGGCTATCCCACCTAATAACTGGCCACATTCACAATTCTTTGGTTGCTTAATTCAGTGTGAAACACTGAGGAAAGCTAAAGTGAAATTGAAATCAATAATAAATGCATCCTCTATACACGGGTGGAATGCCTAACACTCATTCGTTTGAAGGCTGAGGGTCCATGGTAGAAGTTCTTAATCTGGGATGCATGGATTGGTTTTGAGGATTTGAAACTGTATATGTATTTTTTCTTTTAATAATGTATGAGCATGTCTCTGGGCATTTTTCTGGGGAAAGTCTCCATAGTTTTCACCAGATTCACAATCGTCCTAGATCCCCTAAAAGGTGAGGAACTATGATAGCAGTTCTTTACATGCTTGTAAAAGAATGCAATTGTTCTATCTAGTTCTCACGTCCATCTGAAAAGACGGGAGACTTTACCCTAAACAAAAATGGCAGGAGCTGCTTCACACGCAGCCCCTCACGCGGTAAGGCTAGAGGGCACCTCCACTGTCTCTCCACAGTCACACTCCTGACCCCGGAAGGACTCCGCCTCCGGCGGCCAGGCTGCTGCTCGGCGTCGGGCTGCGGCTGAGAAGCAGGCGTGGGCGGGCAGGCTGTACCTGGCCTGGAGCTCCGGGTACGTAGGTGGCGGGACCGGCCGAAGCTGAGAGTGCGGTCGCGACGTTGTTGGGCCAAAGGCCGCGGGGCGAGGGAGGCGCAGGTTCCAGCGCTCGCTTTAGCGATCGGGACTCTTGAGTTCCCGGTGGGGCAACGGAAAGCCGCAGGGTCTATTGCCGTACTGCCCTGCACCCGCTGTCTCTTGTCTCATCGCAGAGGCTAAGCAGGGTTGGGTCTGGCTAGTGCTCCGATGGGAAAGCGGGAGGGCCCCCACGCCAGAGGCAGGCCCACAGGGAAGCGCTGAATCGGCGTGAGTTCTCCAAGGCTCTGAGCCAAGGGGAAGTCTGGGCGGCCGGGCTAGGAGGAAGCCCCTTTTCTGGTCCTCTTGTTAAAAAAAAAAAAAAAAGGAAGACCACAGAGGAGAGCACGGTGAGGGGCTGGGGGAAGAAGAGTGCTGGAGGTGGGGCAGAAGGTGAGGTCTGATGATCGGCTTGGATGTCAGCGGTTTTGATCAGGGAGTGGTTTTTGGATGTGGTAGATTACGCGTCTTTGAAGGTGCTTTTAGAGAATAATTTAGGTTGGGAGTATCGTGGCATCGGGTACTTCTGTGAAGTTATTAAACATCTGTTTTCTGGAGGGAGGACTCCAAGAGATCTTGTTCTTGCACGGACCTTTAAGACCTTTATCGTTATTATTATTATTTTATTTTTGTTGCAACTAAGCATTTTGCTCTGTTTAAAGTATCTTCTCAGAGTTTGGTTGTATAGATTTATGATTCACGTCAATTTTTTTGGTATTTCAGACTTTCATTCTTGGTTGGATAATAAAGTTGTAGAATTTTAAGATGTTTAAGAAGCAAATTCTAAGACCAGGCATGGTGGGTCACACCTGTAATCCTACCATTTTGGGAGGTCGAGGCAGGAGGATCCCTTGAGGCCAGGAGTTTGAGGTTGCAGTGAGCTATGATGATGCCACTGCACTCTAGCCCCAGCGACCGAGTGAGACCCTGTCTCAAAACAATAACAAAACACCAGCAAATTCTATTTAAAAACACTTATTTTTAATTCATAAGTGGTTGAAGTGTAGCGAAGCAAGTAATATTACACAGGACAATATTTTTGGTGATGTTTTAGACTCCTACAAATTTGAATAATCATGAAACTACCTTCATGTTGTTTGAATTATACTTCTGAAAGCAGCTGAAATGACAAGTTTCTAAAAAGTTATTCAATTAATAATGGTTAAGTTTGCAGTCAGCATCCTCAGTGATTTTAAATGAAAGGGAATGGGATAATTAGAATGCAAAAAGGGAGATTTGTCAAAATTCTTTTAAGAAAACCACTGCAGCAAATTGAAGTGTTTGCTTAAAAATCTGGAATGCTCTATTTATGGGGAAAATTACTTTGGGTGAATTACTCTTGATACTTTTTTTTAAGTGCAGTAGAATAGATTGCTTAATGGTCTAGAATCTATTTAATTAGTAAAAATGTTTCAGCATGGTGGTGTGCCCCTGTAGTCCCAGCTACTCAGGAGGCTGAGGCTGGAGGACTACTTGAGCCCAGGAATTTGAGGTTGCAGTAAGCTATGATGATGCCACCGCACTCTATCCCAGGCAACAGAGTGAGACCCTGTCTCAAAAACAAAAACCAGAAGGGAATAGTCTACTGGAGTCTAGAAAAAGAGAGCACAGAGATATATGCAGGAATAAAGGATCTAAGGAAAGTACAGCAAATAAGCTTTTATGGAAGGATTGTTGGTAATTTTAATTTTCTCTGTGGTAATATAGAGCACTATACCAAGAAAAGAAATACTGAATTTGGTAGGCATAAACATTCTGGTTACTGGAGAAGCCTATTGTCTTGTGCACCAGAGATAGTTTTCAGGCTTTTTTTTTTTTTTTTTTTTTTTTGAGACAGAGTCTCAATGTGTTGCCTAGGCTAGAGTGCCATGGCGTCATCCTCGCTCACAGCAACCTCAAACTCCTGGGCTCAAGCGATCCTCCTGCCTCAGCCTCCCGAGTAGCTGGGACTACAGGCATGCGCCACCATGCCCGGCTAATTTTTTCTATGTATTTTTAGTTATCCGATTAATTTCTTTCTATTTTTAGTAGAGACGGGGTCTCGTTCTTGCTCAGGCTGGTCTCGAACTCCTTAGCTCAAACAATCCGCCCACCTCGGCCTCCCAGAGAGCTAGGATTACAGGCGTGAGCCACCGCGCCCAGCCTCAGGCTTTTTTTTGGTAGGGATGAAGTATTCCTGGAGGACCCTTTGATTTTGTGCCCACCAGTGTTTTTGACTTAATAGTTCAGGTTCCCACAATATTTTAATTTCAGAGAGGGTATGTTTTAAAAGCATATATAAGTAATCTGGTCACTAGATAGTGTATGTCTTTATTATAGATGATTTAATTTGTAAACTGATTTATACATCAGTACCATGTAAATTTGTTTACTGTGTGTTCAATTGGGTACACTAATAAAATTGAGTTTCTGGCTTTACAAAGCGGAGACCCAGACCCTGAAGCATTACGTTTCTATCAAGGTTCCACTACCTTAAGAATCTCTCTTTCAATGATAGTGCTTCCTATGTAGATATCTGACCTTTCTTTGGTTGCAAGAGAATTAGCATGCATTAAAGCAATATCAAAATTACATAGCGTATATGTGGCATTTCTTTTATAATATTTAAAATTGGACAGCAATAAAATAAATGCATGAGTCCGAAGTTCCTCTCTAGCCCCAAGTGTCTGTTCCAGATTCTATTCGACAACCTCCCCCCACCCCCCTCCTGTTATTTGAAAGAAATGAGTAGGAAGAAGTAGATTTGAAGTTACTAATTAAAAGCTGATAAATTTTTATTTATCCAAAAAAGAGAGGATCTGGAAACTGTAATTTTCTAGGAATATTTACTACCTAAACTAGAAGTTTAAATCTAACTTTTGGTGCTTTGGTGATTAACAAATATAATTTCAGTTGAAGTGTAGTATCATGAATAATTGAGTGCCAAAAAAAAAGCTGATAGAGCTAAGTTTTCAATTTGTATCTTTCATTGTTAAAGTAACCAGAAATCTTTGTGGCTAATATGTTTTTATGTTTCATTTAATGAAAGTTAGAAGAGGAGTCATGTCAGAAGAAACAGTAAGCGAATCACAGTTTTCCTTGAAGACGGCAGCATTAAGAGTGTTTGATCTTCCTCTGTCCTGGTACTATTCTCTCTCCCAGGTAAACAAAAGAAGCAGACACAAAGTTAAATAATAAGTTCATTACTCAGAGTATGTTTTGTTTATACTATTTAAATTTAAATTGAGGTTTTTATATGGCACATTCAAATGTTTGTTAAAGTAATTTAAAACCTACTTGGTTTTTATTAATTTCATGGGGCTTTATTTTCTTAGTTATCATGTTTATAACTCTTAAAAGGGGATTGCATTACTTTAAAAAAGTTCCTATCTTAAGTGAATTTACACAGTCTATTACAATTATTTTCAGTGAATTATGTTATTCCAGTAGACCTGTTCTCACTATTAGAATCCTTTTTATTTTGGTAAAGTACACATAACATAGAATTGACAATTTTAACCATTTTTAAATGTACAGTTCATTAGCATTAAGCACATTCACATTATTGTGCAACCAATCTTCAGATTTTCTATTTATTATTTAGTTTTGGTAGGCTTAGTGTTTCTAGGAATTTGTTTATTTAATCTAGGTTATCCAATTTGTTGGTGTACAATTGTTCATATTATTCTCTTATAATCCTTTTATTTCTATAGAATAGATATTAATGTCCCTACCTTCATTTCTGATTTTATTGATTTTAGTCTTCTCTGTTTTTCTTCGTAGTCCATCTAGCTAAAGGCTTGTCAATTTTGTTGATCTTTTCCAAGAACTATCTTTTGGTCATTGATCTTTTGCTATTGTCTTTCTGTTCTGTTTCATTTATCTCTGCCCTAACCTTTTTTATTTCCTTGTTTCTGCTAGCTTTGGGTTTAGTTTGTTCTTCTTTTCTAGTTCCTTAAGTTGTAAAGTTAAGTTGTTGATTGGAGATCTTTCTTATATTATAGTGTATAGTCTTGATTGTGTAGTCCTACATTCACATGTACATTAAATACTAATATATTTAACTTTGATCCAAGAAGAATATTTTCCTTTTGATAATAAGGTCATGTAAGTTTATAAAATGTAATGAAAAGTAAAGTGTTCTTAATGCTATTTTTAGAATTCATTTTATTATTGACTCTTTAGCATCCAAAATGAAGAAGCTGATTTTTTTCCCCTGAATCTCATTTGGTTTCTGTGAACACTGAAGGGAAAAACATAGAAATGGAAAAAAATAACAATTGATAACAAGTGTAGTAGAGATATTATTGAAGAGAGGTACTGAAGAGAATAATTCAAGTATGTAGTATGTTAAGTTTTGACACACACATAAAAATACGTAAATATATGTGACATCATCATCGCAGTCAAGATGACGAACATCCCCATCATCTCCAAGTTTTCTCATTTGCCTTTGTAATCTCTCCCTCTGCACCTCCCTGTCTAGCTTCCCTCCCCTACTTGTCCTCAGGCAGCCACTGATCTGCTTTTCATCACTATAGATTAATTTGCATTTTCTAGAATTTTATATAAATAGAATCATATAGTACATACTCTTTTTTGTCTGGCTTCTTTCACTCATCCTAATTATTTTTGAAATTTATTCATGTTATTTTGTGTACCAATAGTTGATTCCCTTTTTTCACTGTTCAGAGACTAGCTTTATTGAGGTATGCTGCACATGCAGTATAACATGTACCCATCTTAGAGATACATCATCTTAAATTTTGTCATGCATATACCTATGTAGCCACCACCTCCATTGAGTTAATACTTCCAGCATCCTGTAAGACTCCCTCATTCCCTCAACCATACTCCAACCCTAGACTCAAGGAATCATTGACCTTTCTGTCACTACAGGTCAGTTTTGCCTCTTTTTAAATTTCAAATAAATGGAATCATACAATATAAACTCAGTACGTTTGGCTTCTTTCACTCAGCAAGAGATTCATGTTTTTGCACATAGCAGTTGTCTATGCCTTACTGCAGAGCAGTGTTCTATTGTGTGGACATACCATGGTTCATTTATCCCTTTACGTACTGATAGACGATGTGTTGTTTCCACTTTTTAACTTTTAGAATAAAGCTCCTGTGATTATTCTTGTACAAGTCTTTGTGAGGTCGTGTTTTCATTTCTCTTGGGTAAATATCTAGGAGTGGAACTACTGGGTCATAATGTAAGTGTGTAAAAAGCTGCCAGAATAGTTAGAAAGTGACTGTATCATTTTCTACTCCCAATGGCAATGTATAAGAGAACTGGTTGTTCCATGTCTCTGCCAACAGTTGGGATCGTCAGTCTTTTTTAATTTTAGCCACTCTATTGGGTATGCAGTGATATTTCACTGTGGTCTTAATTTGTATTCCTGTAATGACTAACGATGCTGAGCATCTTTTCATGTCCTTATTTACTATTCATATATCTTCTTTTACACAGTATCTGTTCAAAGTCTTCTGGCCGTTTTTTAAATTTAGTCTGATCATCTTACTGATTAATAAGAATTCTTTTTATTTTTCTTTTCTAGAGACAGAGTCTCACTCTTTGGCCCAATGCAGTGGTACAGTCATAGCTCATTGTAGCCTCAAACTCCTGGGCTCAAGCAATCCTCCTGCCTCAGTCTCCTGAGTAGCTGGGACTATAGGTGTATGCCACCATCCCCAGATAATTTTTTAATTTTTTTTGTAGAGATGAGGTCTTGCTATATTGTCCAGGCTGGTCTCAAACTCCTGGCCTCAAGTGATCCTCCAACCTTGGCCTCCTAAAGTGCTGAGATTACAGGCGTGAGTCACCACACCCCACCTGTAAGAATTCTTTATGTATTCTGAATACAAGTCTTTGGTCAGATATACCTATCACAAATATTTTCTCCTAGTCTATGGTCTTCATTTTTACTTTATGGCTTTTGAGAGTAAAAGTTTATAATTTTATTGGAGTCTAACTTATCAATTTTTTTCATTTATGGTTCATGTTCTGCCAAACCCCAGCCAAACCCCAGCTTCCAGAAGTTTTAGCTTTTACGCATAGGTCTATGTGCCATTTGAGTTAAATTTTGTGTCCAGTGTGATATAAGTATTAAGGTTCATTCTTTCCCACAGGTATCCTGTTGTTTTACTATTATTTGTTGAAAAGACTGTCTTTCTCTCATTCAGTTACTTTGACACTTTTGATAACAGTCGACACTATATTGCTGAATTATTTCTGAATTTTCTGTTTAGTTCCACTGATTATATGTCTGTCCTTACACCAATACCTTGCAGTCTCAATTAAGGCAGTTTGTAGTATGTCTTGAAATTGGTCAGTGTAAATACTCTAACTTGTTCTTTTTCAAAATTATTGTGGCTATTGTAGGTGCTTTACATTTCTATGGAGATTTTAGAAATCAGTTTGTTGATTTCTACCCAAAGAGCTGCTCAGACTTTGATCAGGATTGTGTCAAATATATGGGTCAATTTGAGCAAATCGCCATTGTTAACTAAAAAAAACTAACAAGATTTATACTTTGGAAAAAGGAGAGCTTTATTTATTTATTTATTTTGTAAAAAAAATCGAGAGCTTTATTTTTTTTAAAGGGTAGCAATCTGTTGGGTGGACATTTAAACAGGCTGAGAAGCAGAGCCCCAACCAGAAGCCAGACGCACGTGTTTCAAAGAAGAGAAATAAGGGAACAGGATTTTATACTGAGTAGGGTAGTCAAATATATATATTCAACAAGCTAAAGGAGGAGTCATGAATATTTATAAAGGGAAATCATGTATTTGTAATTGTGTTTTATATCTCTCCTATCCTGTCATGGCTGGGAACTCAGTTTTATGATGTTTCTGGGGTCCCTTTGGCCGAGAGGGGTCTATTTAGGTAGCAGAGGGCTTAGGATTTTATTTTCAGTTTACACCATCTTCTTGAATCTTCCAATACATAACCGTGGTATCTCCATGATATTGTGAAATATCCATGTGGTCTTTCCATTTCCTGACATACAGCTCCTGGAATCTCCATAGTGATAATAGTGTGTTTGTGTGCTAATGAGTTGAGTGGTGGCTGGCACCCCTGGGTAGTTTCCTGATGGGGCTGGTCACGGGAAAGACCAAGGCAGGATTAGAAGGTTGGGAACTTTCAGCCCTACCCCTCAGTCTCCAGGGAGGGGAGAGGGGCTGAAGGTTGAATTGATGCCAACTGCCAATAATGTCATCAGTCATGCCTAGGTAATGAAGCCTTCATGAAAACGCATGAGAACAGGGTTCAGAGCTGAATGTGCGGAGGTGCCTGAAGGTGGCTTGCCTGCAGAGTGCATGGGAGCTCTGCCCCGCTTCCCACATGCCTCACCCTATGCATCTTTTCCATCTGGCTCTTCGTCTGTATTCTTTGTAATATCTCTTAAAATAAATGAGCAAATGCAATGAAGTGTTTCCTTGACTTTTGTGAGTCGCTCTAGCAAATGAATAGACCCTGAGGAGGGGGTAGTGGAGTCCTGTTTCATAGCCTCCTGGTATCTGAAATGGGGCCCCGTCTTGTGGGGCTGAGCTTTCAACCTGTGGAATCTGATGCCAATTCCAGGTAGATAGTATCTGAACTGAGTTAAGTTATAGGACACCCAGCTGTTGTCCCTTGAAGAATTCCTTGGTGTGTGGGGAAACCTCCCCACAGCTGGTATCAGAAGCGTGTTGAGTCTGTGGCTGTGTGATAGGAGAGGGGGGAAAAGAGAGTTTAGTTTTTCCTCAGACAGTCTTTCCATTTGTTTATATTATTAGGTCGTTTTTGATTTCTCTCAGTTACATCTTAGTTAATTCCTTTTTGTTGCTGAGTAATATTCTATGGTGTACTTATACTGCAGTTTGTTCACCTACTCACCCATTGACGAACATTTGGATTGTTTTCTGTATTTTTAATTATAAATAAAGGTGCTAAGAACATTCCCATACGGGTCTTTGTGTGAACATGTGCTTTCATTTCTCTTGGGTAAATACTTAGGAATAGAATGACTGAGTCATAAGGTAGGTATACATTTAAATTTTTAAGAAAATGCCAAACTTTTCCCAAATGTGATTGTAACATTGTTATGGCCAGTCTTTTAAATTTCAACCATTCTAATATAGGTGTGTAGTAGAATCTCATTGTGGTTTTAGTTTAC